TAAAAAATTTCGAGAAGTAAAATTATTCACCTTTCATAGATATAGCAATTACATTGTTTGATTCTTCTTTTACTGCGGTTACTATACTTACTTGTGTTTTGTAGCTAAAACTGCCTTATAATCTTTGTTACTTTTTCGTTCTTGTCCCAATGTCTGCCATATTATCTGATGTTTACTATGTTTTTTTGCCCATATTGACTTTGTTGGTTTTGTTGAGGCATCTTCCATATTGTCTTTCATGTCCCTGTTACTCAGTCTCCCACATTGCCTCGATGTTCTTGTTGCTGTGTCTACTATATTATCTTTGATGTTCTTGTTGTTGTGTGTACTATATTATCTTTGATGTTCTTGTTGCTGTGTCTCCTATATTGTCTTTGATGTTCTTGTTGCTGTGTCTACTATATTATCTTTGATGGTCTTGTTGCTGTGTCTACTATATTATCTTTGATGGTCTTGTTGCTGTGTCTACTATATTATCTTTGATGTCCTTGTTGCTGTGTCTACTATATTGTCTTTGATGTTCTTGTTGATGTGTCTACTATATAATCTTTGATGTTCTTGTTGCTGTGTCTACTATATTACCTTTGATGTTCTTGTTGCTGTGTCTACTATATTATCTTTGTTGTTCTTGTTGCTGTGTCTACTATATTATCTTTGATGTTCTTGTCGCTGTGTGTACTATATTATCTTTGATGTTCTTGTTGATGTGTCTGCTATATTATCTTTGATGTTCTTGTTGCTGTGTCTCCTATATTGTCTTTGATGTTCTTGTTGCTGTGTCTACTATATTATCTTTGATGTCCTTGTTGCTGTGTCTACTATATTGTCTTTGATGTTCTTGTTGCTGTGTGTACTATATTATCTTTGATGTTCTTGTTGATGTGTCTGCTATATTATCTTTGATGTTCTTGTTGCTGTGTCTACTTTATTATCTTTGATGTTCTTGTTGATGTGTCTACTATATAATCTTTGATGTTCTTGTTGCTGTGTCTACTATATTATCTTTGTTGTTCTTGTTGCTGTGTCTACTATATTATCTTTGTTGTTCTTGTTGCTGTGTCTACTATATTATCTTTGTTGTTCTTGTTGCTGTGTCTACTATATTATCTTTGTTGTTCTTGTTGCTGTGTCTACTATATTATCTTTGAGGTTCTTGTTGCTGTGTCTACTATATTATCTTTGTTGTTCTTGTTGCTGTGTCTACTATATTATCTTTGTTGTTCTTGTTGCTGTGTCTACTATATTATCTTTGTTGTTCTTGTTGCTGTGTCTACTATATTATCTTTGTTGTTCTTGTTGCTGTGTCTACTATATTATCTTTGAGGTTCTTGTTGCTGTGTCTACTATATTATCTTTGTTGTTCTTGTTGCTGTGTCTACTATATTATCTTTGTTGTTCTTGTTGCTGTGTCTACTATATTATCTTTGAGGTTCTTGTTGCTGTGTCTACTATATTATCTTTGATGGTCTTGTTGCTGTGTCTACTATATTATCTTTGATGTTCTTGTCGCTGTGTGTACTATATTATCTTTGATGTTCTTGTTGCTGTGTCTTCTATATTATCTTTGATGTTCTTGTTGATGTGTCTACTATATTATCTTTGATGTCCTTGTTGCTGTGTCTGCTATATTATCTTTGATGTTCTTGTTGCTGTATCTACTATATTATCTTCGATGTTCTTGTTGCTGTGTCTACTATATTATCTTTGATGTTCTTGTTGCTGTGTCTACTATATTATCTTTGATGTTCTTGTTGCTGTGTCTATAATATTGTCTTTTACATTCTTGTAAATGTGTCTTTCACGATGCCTTTTGTTTTCCAGTTCTTGTTACTCTTCCTCCCTCATGCTTTGTTAGGTTACGGTTTGTCTTCTAAATTAATTTTGATTTTGTTCTTGTTGCTTTATCTACAATATTGTCTCTATTTTACCGTACTGACATTATATATAGTGTTGATGGTGCGTCTATCGCCTTTTGTGGTTGCTACCCTACTGTCTGATATTTTTGAAGCTTTGTCAATCATACACTGAAAGTGTTTTCCCCATTTGTGGTCTGCCAGTTTTTGAATCTTTCTTTTAACGATAGTAGTGAAATATGCACAGGAAACGATCACGATTCCATAAACAAGATGTATTTGATATTCATATCTCTACACGTGTTCGGTATTACATATAAAGAGCTTTTACACGAGCCAAAAAAGGAAGTGGACATAATATAATTATACATAACTCAGTCCTATTAATGAAACTCTGACATTCATCTATGTGCCGATAAGTTGGCTTCCTGACAGTTAAGCCATAGAGTTTCTGTTTGTGTGATAACGTGTAGCATCACTAACGGAGGTCACTAACGCTTGTAAATGAGGTTTTTCTCTGATAATAATATGTCATGGAAGTGTTCTGTTTTATCTGCTGTAGTTTTCAGTAATATATACAATCAATTTTAGTCCTCTTATCTCGAAATTTTGTAAGATTTTTCTTCTTGGGTTAATTCGTGTTAAGCATCGATCAAGTTTCGCGCGAACAATGATTCATACCAAACACAAACGTACACGCTGAGTGGAACGCATTTCAAAAACGAATGGTTCCACTCGCGATTCATATACCTTCATCACAGAGGCAAGGCACAGACCAACCTCCACCCCCTATATTCGTATATAGGGTTGGTCTGTGCCTTGCCCCTGTGATATCGACTATACCTTATCAATATGTCGTGACAAAATCGATGGAAAGCGGTTTGCTGTTTGATTGGTTTCAAGTATAGATATACTGACCAATCGATAGACTGATATCTGTTTACTACACAGCAGCGAATCGCGTTTCAAAGCCGGTCAATTTAACCGTAATGCTGCAATTCAATTGTTTTCAAATGATCTGGCTAGTCCGTTTGTATCAACTGCAAGGTGGTGCACAAAGAATTTTTCTGATTTCCTACTTTTTGGCCCCTAGCTTCACCAATGAGACCTAGAAGACCTAAACAGCCGTATGATGAGTATAATTAATTTTATTGGCACAGTGTCTCTTTTACCAAATTTTAAGAACCCTTTGATTTTGAAAATGAGTGAAACGTGAATTCCCCACGAATAATTACATAGAGGCAAGATCGCTTCCAACCTTTTTTGGCCACAGGCATCACCGATGGGTCCTAGAAGGACGAATCAGCTGTATGATTCTGTGTAATTTAACTTCGGCACACCGTACCTATTAACAAATTTTAAAAGGTGCGATCACTTGTGTGTTACGTTAATCGTTCAAACATCATTCACATTTCCAATATTTCCTATCGCCATGTCATTCAGGTAGTACTGATATTTTTGTTCGCAATAAACGTGCAACCCTTTTATTTGAAAGGTCGTTTTAGAAAACTTAAAAGCAATCATATACGCATTTAATTCCCTTGAGTGAATCTTAAATCTTCGAGATGGCGATTTCGCGATATTTGATGTTCACGGCCAAATCGTGCCAACATGTTATTAATGCACTTTATTCCTATTGTCACAACCATTCATGGCTTGGTACCATAAATATTCCACGCGGGATGCGGCTCCGTTAGAACAGACACGTCCATATCCACGTGTTGAGAAACAATTGTATGTTTCAGTCCATACCTCGGGAGAAGTTACAGTCTTATTTGTAACAAATCGTTATCGACAACCACTGTTTCAGATAATACTGTTTTTATCATGGAAGGCTTTCTCAAATCAAGACGTGGCTACAGTAACAGCACAAGGATGTGACTTTACACACGTTCCCAGTAGTGGTAATGTTGTTAAACAAGGCCTAATTTGACTTAATGATGCTTTCCAGAGGCTTGATGTGTTGCTGTATTCAGCATGCCTACCTCGATTTGTTCCGAAATCAGCATGCCTTCCTCGATTTGTTCCCACATCAGGCAATATTGGACAGACAGATGCATGTGGATGTTCTTCGGAAACTTAAAGTGGTTTGAAGATTGATTTGGGACGAGACAATACACAATATGGAAATAAGAGAAGAGCTGTCAGGATTCCTCTTTTCATATTCTGCGTGATACGAAACCTTGAATCATGAATGTTTTTAGCTATGATCATTCTTGTCTGTTCTACCTTAGGGTTCTTTGCGAGTTATACATGTATAAATGATGACTGAGTTGGCAGTATAGAAATTCCATTCACACATGATTTGACGGGTTTCGTTGCGTAAAGAATTACAACTATATATTGTTTAATAAAATTAAAAACTCCTTTTACACTTTGTATGACTAGTATAAGTTCCAGTGTACAGTATATATCCATATGTGTCAGCAAAATAACCTTGACGGCGGTGAGAACTACAAGGCCAAGATTTATGTGTGTTTTTTATAAACTTTGTTAAAGTTCGGCATTCATGCGATGATTAAATCGGATCGGGGCTCTTCTAAAACAATCATAATACATTCATCTAAACCCTGCATAAGGATGACGTTATAGGTATCACTCATGATGTATTAAAAACATTATAAGATTTAAGTGGCTTATATGATAAAAGACCCATTTGTTGTTGTTACTTTAATACTTCCCTGTAGCATCATAAAGGCAAAGGATATGCTTAGATTTTTTGTCTCTCGCGATTTGGCGAGTTCTTGACAAGCTTGTTTGTGTTAACGTTGTTGATTTATTCTTTTTCTTCTGTTTTACTTGTAACACTGAAACTGAAAACGCTTTGATTTTGTTTTTTTTGTTTTCATTTGGAGACCACAGATGGATTGAAAGCTTTACATAATCAACTCTGTTAGATTAATCAGATTCCAACCCCTCTAGTCAACGCTGATAAATGTAAATCTGTTTTATAGATGTCATCTATGACACAAATCAAAAGTGCGGGCGAAAGATGTAAAGAAATTCATTTGTGTCTTTCCTGTTAACAGTCTTGTATGATTTATCCGATTAGCCATTTAATATGAATGCATTTTCTTTTTTGGCCGAATACGAGTATACTGTATTTGAGTAATCGTTTTCTAATTCCGTACACGTTTCTCCCCACAGTAAGGGTACATAGCCTGGAGTGCTGGAAGTGCATCTCTGACGACTGTGAGGGAAACCCCGAAATCAACTATAGAGCCAGGAAAACCACGTGTGGGGAGGATGCATCTTGTATGGTAGGTGATGACGCATCTGTTGATGCGTTTTTGAAACAGGCTGCCAATTTCTGATTGGTCGAATAATGGCGATATCAAAATGAATGCGCGCTATTGATTTTGTTTCAAAAAATGAATAAAACCAAATAGTGTTGTTGCCTATAAACAGTGTTTGTTAGTTCCCTAGTAGGTATGTCGTCTATAGGTCTATAGCATATACGCTGTATCATCTGCAATGGCCATTTTTTTTTTTATCTGAGTACGGATGACTGAGTGTCGTGTACTAAAATAGGTTTCTTGCTTATCTGTATACATAATAATGGCCCCTTGTTCAATTTATTCGCAATTCGAAACAAACAATTACTCGGAAATACTTTATCTTTCTAAAGAAATGATGAGGAATTACTTTTTTTCTGGTTTGCCATGCATACCTTAAATATATATATGGCATGTCGGGCACTCCTATCTCAGTTATTTCTTAGCCATCAGTGTCAGTGATTATTATTTTTCATATTTTTGTAGAAAGTCCGGTACAAGATGTACTACAACTTAACAAAAACAGTCTTCGACTCGATAATTCGTACGTGTTCTTCCGGCGAATGTAAACCTGTGACGGAGAAAGACTTCGCGAAGTGCACGAAGGATGATCGCCTGTACATGGTCAACGGATGTTCGCTTCGGACGTGTTGTAACGACCAAAACTATTGCAATTCCGGAAACCTTCACCAGCTTCAAGTCCGGGTGTTAGTTGGCACTTTGTCGATTGTTAGTTTAATCTTGTACGTATTAGACCTATCATCATAGTCACTTATATGTTTATTTTTCATACACACTAGTAAATGGAACCGTCAGATATAATTTATGATTTATTTGTCTTTATAGACATTTTTGGGAAAAAAAGACGTAAAACACACTTCAAATGAAACCGTCTGATATTCGTATAATACCACTACCCTTAAAACAGTCGTATGATTTGTATGATATAATGTTTATTTGTTAATAGAATGTATCTCACTTGTTAATATCGTTTGCACTGTTCAATATCATTATCCAACATCCATAAATACATATATATATATATTCATTTCGAACTTATGTGTAAATATTTGCGTTGATTAAACATGTTTTGTTTATGAATGTTGTCCTCACGTGGTTGTTGTTCTTTCAAAATAATTACCTCGGGGTAGGGTCAATTTCTGTCAGCACATTCCGCATTTTAAGGCTCCCCGTTTCACTGTTAAAACTGTCACTATGTATTGGAAACTGTATATTTTTCGGATGACTTTGCTTTAATAACTCAATTCTTTTATGAAAAAAAGGATGAAGGTGAAATAAATCAAATATGATCCGCAACATTGTTCTAAATGTAACACTTTAGCGGGGCTACACCGGGACTGGACCGGGGCTAGACCGGGACTCGAGCCCTGGACTTCATATTGTTATACTGTCGCTCTACCTGGTTAACTCTACCTGACAACTGTGCTACACATTTATCCAAAACGAAATGAATGGGAGGTTACTGAATAAACAAAAAACCCACAGTGCAGTGGGACATGGATCCTTAATAGATACACCTTTGTATGTTAGATTAACTGGTAACAGAAACACATCTCTGGAATATGTATATATAGGTATACATACTTCATTCATGTTTTGAAATTCTTGTAATCAACTGATGCACTGTAAAAATCGAACCTTAAAAAAGTGCAATAAATAAAAAAAGGTGTTATCTTTCAAAAATTAAATTGATACTGTGCTGAGAGTATTCAAATATAAGCCGTTATATAGGTAGAACATCTGTAAATGCTACGGACATTTCCCTTACAGTAAACTAAGATCTGAGTTCCAAAGGTCTTGACACCTTTTTGCTTACTAGTGATACCAGTGTACGAGACTGTTTATCTAACGCCGACTGTGTTTTTCAAACATTATCGATGTTCTAGGGCAAAAATTGAACGGATCGAGCCACATTTGTGCAAAGTCAGTCAAGTTGTTTCTTAGATAGCATTGCCATGGATACCGGTGTGTAAATCAAGAGAGATAAGTTAATGTGTGAGGTGTCAATAACATAAGCACGTCTGTGGTCTTCTGATCTCGTTTGCCTTTGTTAAACAGTGGTACAGAGAGTCGACAACTTCTCCAGGTGGTTTCTGTATAAATATCGTTCATAGAACCGATACGTCAATAAATTAAAAAGAAAAAAACTCTAAAAGCCGACATTCAATACAGAGGTATGGAGGAGGGGGCCTCCTGTGTAGACTCTGACCAAAGATTTTAGAGGAGGCGTCCCCTCTAATATACATACTTAGGCTTACAAAGGTTGAGCTGTGCTTATTCTGAACGTAGGCATATCCGCCACTTTATTCAGACCATAGTCCATATTTATTTAATCATGATAAATAACAATGTTTTTGATGTGACGTCACTCTATTGTTTAGTTATGCATCCGCTCAAATGAAGACCTCCTGCGCACTAACATCCGGGCAAACAAGAGTGCTTGATTTAAGTTGTTATAACTTGTATCATAATTGTTGAAAACTATATATAGTTTATGTATATATACCAACCACATAGTTTCGGAATGTATTCTTCCTGATAGATAGGCTGAAAAGGATTGATTTCGGATGCCTCTTCTAAATGTATTGATAAAAATAGAGGCTAGATGATGCTTTATCCGTAATAAATATTAGAGCTGAGAGTTTGTGAATGTTTCATTCCTTATAGATACTGACTACAGAGGTTTGTGAATGTTTCATTCCTTATAGATACTGACTACAGAGGTTTTGTGATGTTTCATTCCTCATAGATACTGACTACAGAGGTTTTGGGATGTTGCATTCCTTATAGATACTGACTACAGAGGTTTTGAAAATGTTTCATTCCTTATAGATACTAACTACAGAGGTTTGTGAATGTTGCATTCCTTAAAGATACTGACTACAGAGGTTTTGGGATGTTTCATTCCTTACAGATACTGACTACAGAGGTTTTGTAAATGTTTCATTCCTTATAGATACTGACTACAGAGGTTTTGTAAATGTTTCATTCCTTATAGATACTGACTACAGAGTTTTGTGAATGTTTCATTCCTTATAGATACTGACTACAGAGGTTTGTGAATGTTTCATTCCTTATAGATACTGACTACAGAGGTTTGTGAATGTTTCATTCCTTAAAGATACTGACTACAGAGGTTTTGGGATGTTTTATTCCTTACAGATACTGACTACAGAGGTTTTGGGATGTTTCATTCCTCATAGATACTGACTACAGAGGTTTTGTAAATGTTTCATTCCTTATAGATACTGACTACAGAGTTTTGTGAATGTTTCATTCCTTATAGATACTGACTACAGAGGTTTGTGAATGTTGCATTCCTTAAAGATACTGACTACAGAGGTTTTGGGATGTTTCATTCCTTATAGATACTGACTACAGAGGTTTTGGGATGTTTCATTCCTTATAGATACTGACTACAGAGGTTTGTGAATGTTTCATTCCTTATAGATACTGACTACAGAGGTTTTGGGATGTTTCATTCCTTACAGATACTGACTACAGAGGTTTGTGAATGTTTCATTCCTTATAGATACTGACTACAGAGGTTTGTGAATGTTGCATTCCTTAAAGATACTGACTACAGAGGTTTTGGGATGTTTCATTCCTTATAGATACTGACAACAGAGGGTTTGGGATGTTTCATTCCTTATAGATACTGACTACAGAGGGTTTGGGATGTTTCATTCCTTATAGATACTAACTACAGAGGTTTTGGGATGTTTCATTCCTTATAGATACTGACTACAGAGGGTTTGGGATGTTTCATTCCTTATAGATACTGACTACAGAGGTTTGGGGATGCGTTCTCTCTAATAGCAACAGAGGTTTGAGTTTGCGTCCTCTCTCAAAGATTTTGATTGCAGCTGGTCGAGGATGTATCCTCTATCATATATACCAACAACACAGAATTCGGGTTTCACAAACAGCTCGGACGTATTCACGTGTCCACGTTGTGGCATCATTAACTCACCCATTTCAGATTTACAATTTAATTATGGTAAGCAATATAGATTTAGCCCAAAAATAAGAAGGTCTTACATTCGTATGTTTATCCTGCAATAAATGTTTTCTTCCCAAAAATTGCTTTGTATTAAAATTCAAAATATAGATTAAGAAGAGTTAAGTCATAAATAGCTAACGGCGTTTAACATAAACAGACCTCTACCGACAGAAACATCCCTTTATGACACAAACAGTCCATGGATAGTGGCCATTTGTCTGAGCTCTCAACGACTTCCGGACGTGCTACATTTAGCAAATCATTTAAAAACTCTCACTGATCCTCCCCAAGGTAGCCGAAAAGCAAAAAGCAATCGCCCAACAAGATTTGTAGATTTGCCAAAAAATATTTTTTGTACGTAAACAGATTCTCTTTTCAGACAGAAGTTACTAAACACATGCAATTGCGCATATCCTCATTTTGATTTATTCTATTTCAAAATGGAAGAATTTCGAAGAGAAAGATGGGCATAATGCAAACACATGTTATTGCACTTTAAAAAAATTGGCAATTAATACATTATGCTAAAATGAATAAATCACACAACTCCATACATCTGTTTGGTCCCTTTAGGACTCATCAGTAATACAAGGGGTCAAAAGGTGGAAATCCGAATTGTACGAAACTACTGTTTTGAAACAGTTTGGAAGTTGGATAAAACCCCTTAATTGTATAAATTGAAGCAAATAAAACAGTATGTTTATTTTTAACCCTGTCACTACTTAAGTGACAACGGTAGCCAACAAGAATACGGCAAACCTCGGGGACCAAGAAATCCTCCAGCAGAATCCAACATATTGTATCTTAAAGAGGAACGTAACACGCACACATGTGATTGATCTATAACATAAAGTATTCTAACCACGGTTTCAGGGATGTATGCAAGACCACACACTTGTGTTTTTCTAACGAATCAGAAATCACGAGCTTATTGCGCGGACGAATATATACGTCCGCGCAATAAATGAGTGCTTTCTGAATCGTTAGAAAAACACAAGTGTGTGGTCTTGCTTTTATCACATACCTTCCGTTTTTGGTAGAGATCGACACAAAGATTTTATAAACTTTGATATTTTTTGCAAATACCGAGACCTTTTCAGTTCGCCATGACAAGGGGATTCCTATAAAAGTAGTGCCAGCTAGTAGGTAAATACAACATTTCGTATAGCACATGTGGAATACAGAATGTTGTATTTCATGGTCTGAAAAATGCTTGTATTACCATAACAAGATTCAGCAGGTATGTGATAAAACACAATGCTCTATATTTCAACTTTTAAAAGAAACATTGGGTGGTTAAGGAGAGACCTTGGTTATTGGAGCGTTTGAATCCTATTCAAATCACAACATGAACTGAAGCGGGATGTCAAACATTTCATTAACAGGTACATGTAAAGTGATGATAGTTCTATAGATGACATTTTCATTTTATAAGTGTAGATAGTGGAAACATAAAATAAATATAAATGAAGTAGATTTAATTAATTTGGAACTCATCACAGGTATTAAAGGTGAAAAGAATGAAAACTCCGTGTCTCAAGTGTTTGGAAACATAAAATTCAGCGAAAAAAAGGTGCCTAAAAGCCTATAGAACGTTACATGCTTGAACTAGTAATGTCAACACCCTTATGTAAGCACACCCAGTTTTTAGAGCGTGAACAAATGTAAACAGATAATCGCATTGATGAATTCTGGGCAACCACTATATAGAACAACAGAAAGGAAGTTCAATTTGCGCGTTTAATATTTAGCGTAATTTCCACAGCGAGAAGAACGCAAAATCAAAACTTCCGCTAAGATATGAACGTTTACAGTATTCCATTTTAATCCTGATAGAATAAAGCCCGGCTACAAGGCAACGGCCAACCTCGAGGACTAATAGTTATCAGCAGACTGTCCTGTTGTTTTGAGTTATCACTAGAAAGGCAAGTAATTGAAGCACTTTTTTTGAAAACAAATTGTTTTGTAGACACAAAGACATACAAAGTAGCAGTTTATGGCACCAAATGGCCATTTTGTACACTTAAGACTCATCGTGTGTTTAGAAT